CAGCCTTTATCTACATGGAGGTAAGGGTTGTGAGATCAGAGTGTAGCCTTTATCTACATGAAGGTTAGGTTGTGAGATCAGAGTGTAGTCATTATCTACATGGAGGTAAGGTTGTGAGATCAGGGTGTAGTCATGATCTACATGGAGGTAAGGTTGTGAGATCAGAATGTAGTCATCATCTACATGGAGGTAAGGTTGTGAGATCAGAATGTAGTCATCATCTACATGGAGGTAAGGTTGTGAGGTCAGAGTGTAGTCATTATCTACATGGAGGTGAGGGTTGTGAGATCAGAGTGTAGCCTTTAACTACATGGAGGTAAGGTTATGAGATCAGAGTGTAGTTATTATCTACATGGAGGTAAGGTTGTGAGGTCAGAGTGTAGTCATTATCTTCATTGAGGTAAGGTTGTCAGATCAGAGTGTAGCCATTATCTACATGGAGGTAAGGGTTGCGAGATCAGAGTGCAGCCTTTATCTACATGGAGGTGAGGGTTGTGAGATCAGAGTGTAGCCTTTAACTACATGGAGGTAAGGTTATGAGATCAGAGTGTAGTCACTATCTACATGGAGGTAAGGTTGTGAGATTAGAGTGTAGTCATGATCTACATGGAGGCAAGGTTGTGAGAGCAGAATGTAGTCATTATATACATGGAGGTAAGGTTGTGAGATCAGGGTGTAGTCATGATCTACATGGAGGTAAGGTTGTGAGATTAGAGTGTAGTCATGATCTACATGGAGGCAAGGTTGTGAGAGCAGAATGTAGTCATTATATACATGGAGGTAAGGTTGTGAGATCAGAATGTAGTCATCATCTACATGGAGGTAAGGTTGTGAGGTCAGAGTGTAGTCATTATCTTCATTGAGGTAAGGTTGTGAGATCAGAGTGTAGGCATTATCTACATGGAGGTAAGGGTTGTGAGTTCAGAGTGTAGTCATTATCTACATGGAGGTATGGGTTGTGAGATCAGAGTGTAGCCTTTATCTTCATGGAGGTAAGGTTATGAGATCAGAGTGTAGTTATTATCTACATGGAGGTAAGGTTGTGAGATTAGAGTGTAGTCATGATCTACATGGAGGCAAGGTTGTGAGAGCAGAATGTAGTCATTATATACATGGAGGTAAGGTTGTGAGATCAGAGTGTAGTCATTATCTACATGGAGGTAAGGTTGTGAGTTCAGAGTGTAGTCAATATCTACATGGGCAGAAGTAGTAGCAGTTGTCTCGGAGATTGACTGTCTGTCACATGTGATATTTGAAGCCTAGAAAGTGTGTCAACCTATCGCATTATTTGTGACTTCTTGTAAAACATTCTATGGTTTATACAGTCACCAAAAATCCTTTTATGTCATTAGTTAACCTTTAATAGAGTTTTATTAGCTGTAAGAATTATTTCTGCTGTACCATAGCTAAAATTGGTTCTCTTTGTGTTTCAGCCCATGACAATCCCGAATACAGCATTACTGTTACAGCTCCTTTCAGTACCACTCAGTCTGCTGAAAAATGTCTGGATGCTTTCAAAGCTCAACTTCCTTTTTTTTATAATGCGTTTGCAGCTAATTATGGTTGTGAAGATTTCATTACTGGGACTGTTGTTAATGATCAGAAAGTTGAAGTTGGGAGCTTAAATAAGGTATGATGTTTAAAGTCTAATGTATCCAATATGTCTTCAAATGCCTGAAGGGCAGAAGGGCGACAGGGGCAATGTTTTCAAACCATTAGTTCCCTGTGTACATACATGCCATATCTAACGATTTGCATTTCTCAAGAATTTCAATCGAAAAGGAACTAAGTTTGTTCAATCATTTTTATTAGTGAATAAACAATTAAAAGCTATATATGGATTCACACTGACCTTGGTCACAGAGAGGTCTTAAGTCACAGGGCAGCCACTTAAATTAGCACCAGATGTGTGAAAGTTGTGAATGGCCCGCCCATTGGTGTCATGCTCACTGATGTGTGAACAGTAACGCAATTAAATCAGGGATCACTAGGGGGCTGATGGGCGGGGCCAAAAGGGGTCAATTTGGCTATATTGCTACAAACGACTTCTGTAGAACTATGCACTGGATATCAATTATACTTGATCAAAAGCATTCATAGGAGGCAGGGATTCAAAATTGTACCAATGGTGTGGCTGACCCTCCAGGGGGCTGAGGGGCAGGGCCAAAAAGGGTTATGTGGCTATACTGCTTTAAGCAACTTCTTCTCTGGAACTATGAGATGGATATACACCATATTGGCTGGAAGCATCCATAGGTGGTCGGAATTAAAAATTGTACAAATGGTTGGGCTGACCCCCAGGGGGCTGAGGACGGGGCTAAAAGGGGGCAATTTGGCTATATTGCTTTAAGCGACTTCTTCTCTGGAACTCAGAGATAGATATCAGCCATATTTGACTGGAAGCATTCCTAGGTAGTGGAGATGTAAAATTGTAAAAATGGTGGGGCTGAGGGCTGGGCCAAAAGGGCGCAATTTGGCTATATGCTATAAACAACTTCTTCTGTAGAACTATGACATGGATATCGATCATATTTGGTTGGAGGCATTCATAGCAGGCAGGGATCCAAAATTGTACAAATGGTGGGGCTGACCCCCCAGGCTAAGGGGTGGGGCCCAAGTTTATTACTTGGAAATGGTTGAGATCCCCACCGTATAACCATATATACAATTGCTGAGTATAAAGAGAAGAATGCACATTTACTTCCAGGATGGCTCTAGGGTCTGGCCCCACCCCTGGAGACATAGTCCCTGGGTCATAACTTTGAAATGGTTGATATCCCCACCCCAGAACTATATATACAAATGCTGGGCATAAAGAGACGAATGCAGTCATGATATTAGATTAGACCCTGGGGTCTTACCGAACCCCTAGGGACCTAGTTCCATAGTCACAACTTGGAAACAGTTGAGATCCCCACCCTATAACCATATAGACAATTGCTGAGTATAAAGAGATGAATGCACATATGCTTCAAGGATGGCCTTTGGGTCTGCCCCACCCTTGGAGACTTACCCCCTGGGTCATAACTTCGAAATGGTTAAGATCCCCACCCCAAAACTATAAATACAAATGCTGGGCAAAAAGAGACGAATGCAGTCATGATATTAGAATTGATCCTGGGGTCTGGCCACAACCCTAGGGACCTAGTTTTTGAGTCACAGCTTGGAAACAGTTGAGATCCCCACCCCATAGCCATACATAAACTTGCTGGGCATGACAAATATAATACAGATATGCTACAAGGATTGGCCTAGGGGTCTGGCATATTCCCTTGGATGTCATTTGGAGAATATTTTGCCATGATTGCTTATATATCCAGGTGAGCGATACAGGCCCTCTGGGCCTCTTGTTATTTTGCACCAGAAAGTTATGGCATGTATGTGTATACCTGTATCACCCAATTGTCATGAAATATTAAGGCAGCCTTAGGTTTAATTAATAAGTTGGCTTTATTCCTATATATTGATCAATTCCAGGCAATAATTTTCCGAAACTTACTTTTTTTTAAATCCATAATAAGCCAGCAGTCAGATAATTCTAATATCCATTAAATTTCACCCTTTGTACATGGTCTACAAAGTTTTCAAAGGAAAACAAAATCTACGAATACAAAACTGCCACTAGAGAGTTGTTAGTTGTTAGTTTGCAGTCCTTCCTTCGGTCCAAATTCTATCCATTCAAAAATGTTATTTGGAGCATGTTTTCTGTACTTTTTCATCTGGAGTAACCAGATTTGATATGCAAGTACATCTTGGGATTGGGGAATGCAAAGAACAAGAAGTAGTTCATTGTGATCTATGCTTTGAACTGTGACCTTAGCCTTAATTTGTCCATGATGTATCCTCTATTCTGACTGAATTTGACTGAGCATCTCTAGGTGGAGGGGATTCAAAATTTTACAAATGATTGGACTAAAGGGATACTTTTGCCATATAGCTTTTAACAACTTGTCCTCTGGAACTAAAAGGTGAATATAATCAGCCATATTTGGTTGAAGACATTCTTGAGATGATGGGATTCAAAATTATACAAATGGAGGGGCTGATCCCAATGGGCAGGAATTAATCGAAGGGGTGGGTCTAAAATGGGTATTTTGGCTATATTGCTTTAAATAACTTCCTCTCTGGACCTATATGAGATGAATATCAACCATGTTTGGTTGGAAGTGTTCTTGAGTTTTGGGGCTTCAAAATTGTACAAAAGGAGGGGCAGAACCCCCAGGGACATAGGGGGCAGGGCCAAAGGGATAATATGGCCAAAGTGGTTAAACTAGGTGACTTCTTTTCTGGATCTAAGAGAAATCAACAATATTTTGTTGGGTGCATTCTCAGGTGGTTGGGATTCACACTTGAAAAATTGGAGGTGCTGACTCCCTAGGGGCTCAGGGTCAGGGCCAAAAAAGGTGATTTGGCAATATTTATGAGTGACTTCTTCTCTCAGGAACTTTTAGAGATGGATATCAACATTGTTTGGTTGGAAGCATTCTGCAGTGATAGAGATTCAATATTATACAAATGGAGGGGTTGAACCAAAGTGCTGAGGGGCTGAACCAAAGGCACAATTTTGCTATATTGGATAACATGACTTCTTCTCTGGAACTCAAAGATGGATTTCAATGATATTTGGTTGGAAGCATTTTACAATTTGTCTTTAAAATATCACAACAGCAAATAACAATTGCACTCTTGTTATCTTTATTGTTTATGATGTCTAGACGGGCGGGCATAGAGTGGATGATCCATATGAGGAGGATACTGCATTAACTCTTTTAACCCTACTGTGTTTTGAAACTTGCAATGATATATCGTGATTATACTGTCGCAAATTGAATTTTACTGGTGATACGGAGCAGAATAAGTCGGATGTATTAAACATTGACCTTCGAGGTCACGCTATTGTTCGTGACATCACGAATGATTCATTCAAGACTTGTCAGGATCAGTCAGGGTCATTGACATTATAAAAAATTGCCATTCGGTCTTCATATGCAAATGAGAAATTTGCTGATGGTTTATACCGTCACAAATTACATGTATTTTGATAGACCAATCAAATGCTTAGTTTCATCTCGAATGAATTAGAATTAAACTTAAAAGAGCAACTTATTTCTTCATACATGTATATACCAATGACAGTGGCACTGTCACATATTTTGTAAAAAAAAAAATCATATGAAAAATCATTTTATTTCAATGCTAATGTTTTGTATTTTTTGTTTTTCAGATTATTTTAAATGTAACAATAAACTTAGATCGTGCGGGATCAGATGCACACAAAACGTCTTGCCTAACTGCGTTTGAGGCCTTATTAAATGTTGGTGTTGTCTCACCACTCAGATTTTTCCCCCAATCTATTACTTGTGAAACTGGTGTTTCAACTGTGTTACCAGTCTACCCAGAATCAGCTGTTACCAGTTTCGGTTACTCCTGTTCTACACCTGGGCGGGTGCTGAGGACAATAGATACAGAAAACAAATGTGGTAAGTTGATTTGCTTGCCTCTAAATTTTTCATCTAGTATGTTACTCACGATCATTGGGTGAGGGGAATTCAGATTTATAAGAATGGACAGTCTCTGTCTTTTTGAAGGTAGTACCACAAATTGATTTGATAGAAAGTAGAGAATTATTGGAATTTCCAAAGGCTTACGTTTAAGCTTGCATGTGTTGGCCTATAATTGTATTTATTTGGTATGGATCATGCTATGATTGAGTAATACTGATTTTGTTTGAGTCAGGTAGGTAACTTAATCCGCCTACAGAACAATAAGTCATGGTATATGGCTTGTGAAGCTCCATAGGACAGTAGAATTCAAGTGTTCAAACAAATGACTTTGATCCTTTTCAATGTTGCAGTGGTCGTATGTGTTAAATTTTTAAATGACTAATTCTAAAGAAGCATTAACCCAGAGTCAAGACTTGATTTTTGGTCTGTAGCCTGCTGGTGTGTATCAATGGCTATTAGAATTGTTCAAATAAATGATGGTCAAGCTTCTACAACATTTCATACATAATCATGAGGTCAGGAATAGAGCACTACCAAGTTAGGTCACATGGGTCAAATCTATTGAAGATAATGTGTATGACTAAAGGGCTACATTCTTGTTATTATGTCCTTATCCTACTAGGGTTTAGTGACTACAAAGATTGTTCAAATTTGTGGCATTGGCCAAATTTTAATGTCACATGTGTTGAAAGTGCTATAGACTTCAAATTACTATTTTGAGAGAATCATGAGGTTTAAAATAATTACGATACGGTCAAGCCTTATCCGTAAATATGTATGTACCTGTAAGCCTAAGGGCTTTCTTATAATAAAGAATCAGAAAAACTGCTTGTGCAAAACCTCTATCAAGAGACCTATGTTTTGTGAGGGCACTTTTTAATGTTGAATCCCTTGGTAGTGATTTCATTGTGAACCTCGATTGAGAGACCACCCATGGGGAAATACCAGTTTGCACTTCTCAAGGGTGTTCTCAAAATACAGATTTACAGCAGTTGTCTTGTAACTTGTTAAGATATTCAAATAACTTCTTGCTCTGAACCGTGAAACCTGAAGTCATGATAATTGTTATCATTAAGCTTGATGGGGTGAAAGGCTGCTATCAAGCTTGATGGGGCGAAAGGCTGCTATCAAGCTTGATGGGGTGAAAGGCTGCTATCAAGCTTGATGGGGTGAAAGGCTGCTATCAAGCTTGATGGGGTGAAAGGCTGCTTTCAAGCTTGATGGGTCGAAAGGCTGCTATCAAGCTTGATGGGGTGAAAGGCTGCTATCAAGCTTGATGGGGTGAAAGGCTGCTATCAAGCTTGTTGAATTAAATGATATACTGTATAACCCATTCTAAGTGTCAAGGGTCATATATGTGATCAGTAAACAAATCCAGGGCAGAATTTGAGGCCTGGGGCTCTGGTCCTTTTGGAGCATTGTTAACCGTACTATTTAGCTAATTGATATATGAAAATGATTAATGATTTGTAAATATTAATGAAGATACAGGCCCTTCCTAATTTTGATTGTTAGACTTTCTGGACAATATTCCTTTTAAAAAGTGTTTATAATTGTATTTGAACAAGTATACTGCTCATGATCAAGTGGAGGTCAAAACTGGAACTGACTTTGTATATACTTACTGATGTTTAATAATGCCATTGTTCAGATAAAACTCCAGGACAAATACATGTTATATTTTGAATTGATTGCAGTACCAACTATTCCTGGGATGTTTGAGGCAAATGGTGTTTCTGTAAACTGTACGGATGGTTTATACCAGGACGCTGTAGGACAGACAAGCTGTAAGCAATGCCCTGATGGAACAGTGGCAGCCACAACAAGGGATGCATGTTTAAGTATGTCTCAGTAACCATAGAAATATTTAATTGTTTCTGTTCCAACACCTATAGATAACTATAAACATATTACAAATTTCCATTTCAGACACCTGTATAGATAGCAAAAAATAACGTTTAGATGTGTCATTTAAGATAACTGTGAAAGACCTACAAAAATATTAAAGTGTCATCTGTCCTTGTAACTATTGAAATGTTTAGGTGTGTCTCCTCTAACACCTGTCTAGATAAATATAAAATGTTATGGTGTGTCTCCTCTAACACCTGCCCTTGTAACTATAGAAATGTTAAGATGTGTCTCCTCAAACATATATCCTTGTAACTAGAAATGTTAAGGTGTGTCTCCTCTAACACCTGTCTAGATAACTATAAAATGTTATAAAAGGTGTGTCTCCTCTAACATCTGTCCTTGTAACTATAGAAATGTTAAGGTGTGTCTCCTCTAACATCTGTCCTTGTAACTA